TATATTTTTCATTATTTTACTCAATTAATATATATATATAATTTCTTTATATATTTGTTCACATTAAACAGGTAAAATAAACTTACTAATTTCATTAATTTCCAAAAATTTTGATGCATAGGAAGTGAAGCTGCTTAATGTATGTAATATGTAAATACAAAGATAGTTTTAACACATATTATTTTATTTAATATTATTGATATTATGTGATACACAATATAATAATTATATTTCGATTACTTATACTTATAAATGATATAACTTCTGCACTTTTCACTTATTGAATTAACAGAAAAGAAAAACAAATGCGAAAAGCTGACGCATACAAATTTTTTAAAACGATGCTGATTAGTCGTCTTTATCTTTTCCATTTCATTTTCCATATCCATGGTACGGCATCCTTAGCGTGATTATTCTGGAGAATCTATTGTATTAAGAAAGATAAGAATGATTAAGAAAGAAAATTAAAGAACATTATCAACTTTTAGTAGTTCTGAGAAATTTATTCTGATAAATGAATGAATATTTTACTGAATCATTATTTTATCCTTTAATCACTGTTTTTATCAGTTTATATCGATCATCAAAAATGTAAAAATCTTATGATTGTATATTTTTTATGATAAAAAAATGATTAAGGAAGACACAAAATCTTCATTAATTATATCTTCATTAATTATATATTAATGGACACACCAAAACAGTCGATAATATTTACGCTTTCCAATTAATTATTTCCGTAAGGGTCCTTTTGATAATTAACAAAAATTTACTCAGAATTGTCTTATTAATAATCGGTCTTTATTAACAATATTTCGATACCCATGACAAGGAAAGTTGAAGGAGAAGGATGCAATTGTAAAATTATAAGTCAGAACTACTGTGAAAAACTATTACGAAATACTACCATGAAAAGATACTAAATATGCATTCAGGGAAACTCTATTAGCGCTTGTGTCATTTCTGTTCTTATTTTGTGTCTAATAAGCGATGAAGATAGAATGACACAAAAAGCACTAATATAGCGTCTCCTCGAATGCATCATAAAAGTATTCTTTGTTGTCTTCTTTTTCAACTGCATCAACATATTTGAATTATTGTTCTTTATTCTTTTTCTTTTTTTGATTGATACTTTTCTCTAAAGAGAGCACTTTCTAAATTTTAATTATAAGTTAAAAAAAAGTGAATAATCAATGTAACAACTTTGATTATTAATAGCTTTTTTTATTATTAACATTATTATAGTTTTTTAAAACCAGAAACAATTATATTCTAGTCAATTTATTTCTAAAAAAAATTTTAATATGTATAGAAAAGTGAAAAATTTATATTGTAGTCATTTTTAAGTGTTCTTTTTCCCTTAATAAAAATCATTAAAATTTGTTAGAATTATAATCCTCTCTTTGATATAATTAATCGCTATAAGATTTTATAATTCTACCACAGCAAATACAGTAGAGTATACCATCCAAAACAGTCTCAAGACATTTTATAACACATCTAGCTAATTCTTTCTATCTTCTTTCTAATCTAGCTAATTTTTTCTATCTTTAAAAAATATGAAGAGTAAATAAGTTATATCATTAAGTGCAGACAAAAGGATACGTTTCTAAAATATTACAAAGAAATTTGATCGCTGAGCTGTAAGCTTATCGGACAATAATTAATAATATCTCCGATTATATTTTGAAAGAAAAAGAAAATAAGTTTATTTATTCTTTTGTTTGCGTAAAATATTTAGTTTCTTTACGATAAAGTGCAAAAACAAATGGCTTTCATGAAAGAAAAGATGATATTATTTACCGATACTTTCCTTGCAGCTACTACATTTTGCTCTCTATGGCTTTGATATGTTATACTGTTTTCACTTAAAACGATATACGTTTATTTGAGCATTAGAATGAAAATAAAAGAAAAACAGTTGAAATTAAGAAATAAATAGAAGAAAAACAATTTTGAAATAAATATAAGAAAAAATTGAAAAAATATTTTTATAGCTTTATCAGCAAGATATGAAATATGTATATGAGGCAAATCGAGGCAAACCTTTGAAACATCGTTAGTTAAAATTATTTTTTTAATTTTCTGACATATTCTACAGATAAAAATATGAGACACGCGTTTTGCAAAAAATTTGAGATTTTTTTGGTGAAATTATTGACACTTGTAAGTTACAAAAAAAACATACAAACATTCAAATTATTATATCATTGAAACTATTACTACAAAAAAAATGCAAGAGATCAATTTTAAAGATCTCAAATTGTTCTATAGATGAGTTATTTTTAATTTATCATTTTTATATAAATAAATCATTTTCCACTTGTTTACAATTTTTATTAATGTTTTTCATTACCAACTCATTAATTTAAAAATTTTGTAAAAATATATTATATTTCTTCAATTATGAAATAAGCCTGAAAGTTACAAAATGAAACTCGAATGGAATGTACAGTTAAAAAATTCTGTTGTGTACGCATACGGTACTGCGCCGTCACACAACAAAATTTTTTATCTTATATGTCATTCTTAAATGATATACAATATATGAAAGTATCAACATAATTATAAAAATTAAGAATGACGATTAGGAGTGACGACGCGAATTAGGAGTAACGACGTGATATATATACTTTTATTTCTTGTTTTTTACATCTTCTTTCTACATTACGTGACTGTCTTAAATATTTTAAATGTTTGAAATATTATGTTTGTTTGTTATTTATTTAAATTATTTACCAATTAATAAATAAACTCCAAAACTTTAAAAACGTCTTGAAATTTTTGAATTAAATAATCAGCATGACTAGAATTTGCCTACATGAAGGTCTGCGTGTTTTATTATAATAAAACTTTGAAATTATTTCCGTATCTCGAAAAGTTTTACATATTAAATTTTTGCGTAATTATAGATTAAATCATTTTTATATTTAAAAATATTTTAAATTTTTTATGTAAAATAATTAATTTGTTTAATGTTCCAGATATAAAATACTTTGAGCACTTATTTTACTTAAAAAAAATGTGTCCTTACTTTTTTTTTTAAATCAATTATCATTTATCATGTACATTCAATAAATTTTAATATAAACATGATTGTTTTATTATATTAAATGATTTGTTTTATTATATTAAATCGAGATAAAAGATACTATTAAAGATATAAGTATCTTTATACTTAAGAATAGTTTTAAAAGTTTGAATATTAACTTATGGTACTCCAATCTCTCTTAATTTACATAAATTAACAATATTTTAAAATTAATTTACAAAATTATATTATAGTACATGAAACATATTACAAATAAAGCAAAAGAATTTTCAAGAATTATTGCTTTTTTTTGAAATCATACATTTTCATTAAAGAATATAAAACTTCATCTATGTGAATTATATTTTCAAGATATTAAATTACGTCACAACGATAAGAAGATGTATACGAGAATATTTATGCCATCAGTAAAATGTTTTTTTCTACGGATGGTAAAAGAAATTTTACTTTCTACTAAAGTGTAAACGTACTTATCGACGATTAGTTATTCTAGTTTACATTTAATATAACATTTATCCGTGACATAATTTTCAACGACTTAATGTGTCGGTACATTACCCTTAATAATTTCGCTGGTAATGCAGAGATCTGAGAGAGAATTTGCTTGTCCTTTGTGACCGATAGTGCACTAGCTCCGTCTGGTGTCGAGTGAGGAATGATCGCGACGCCCCTTCTCCCTCCATTCCAACCCCGATGCTTCGTTCCGTCGACGGCGCCGGTGGCAAAGCGCGGGTTACGGTTTAAGTTGCATTTTAGATGCGAACGAACGCGCATCTCTTTTGGACTCACGGTTACGCGGTTAACGTTTCGTGAACATCGGGCACGCGTTACGAGCTAAGTGCGACACGAGTCAATTGTGAACGATTCTGCGACGCGGATCGTCACTGCGTGACGCGGGATTGACCGGTGAGTTTCAATATTTTTCTCGTCTGTGTGTGTAAGTTTTAGCACTTGAATTTAGCCGCGCGACTCCCAAACTTATTGCGCTGAGAAACCGTATGTGCGTTTTCGTATATCCGAAGATGTTCCTTTCTATTGCATTCCATACAAATTAATTTTGTAGCAAAATGACTGTGCCTCAAACTTTTTTTTCGTATCAGTGATTGAATTGAGTACATATACCCAGACAACGCAAAGTGTCCAAAATCACGACATCTTTGTTGTTTAAAAGATGTTTTATGTCTCAATTTTAGACTTTGTGTTGTCTAGGTATACAGTTATATGTACAGTTTTTTTTTCAATTATATATACAATTTCCTAGATTACTACTTTTTTCAATTCTTAGATTCTTTCTGCCCTTTTCTACTAATATAGTTTAATTTTAATCTCAGGTTCAACTAACTCCTTATTTTTTTCTAAAGTAAAAAGAATAAGTAGAACCGAGATTGTAGTTTATCTACATTAAAATGGGCATAACTAATTGGAAGCAGAAAAACGTTATGCTTTTTCGAATTCGGCCATTTTAAAAAAACATATTTCAAACATAGTTCTATCTATGGTGATGTAGGATAAAATGACTTTTTGTTTTGCTGACACACTGGCTGTTTTTTGATATGCGATAACTGCTCTCTGACGATTGGTTTTGTTATGCTTGATGCACTCTCAACATATAGATATCTAGCAATATTTTGCAACAGGAGACACACACACACACACACACACACACACACACACACACACACACACACACACACGCACATACACATTTTATAT